ACACATATATATATATATATATATATATATATATATATAATATATATATATAATATATATATATATATATATATACACACACACACACATATATATATATATATATATATATATTATATATATAATATATATATATATATATATATATTATAATATATACACATACATATAAACACACACATATATGTGTGTGTGTGTGTATGAATTAGTCTAGTCTTCTCCTAAACGTTATTTGGATACTATTATTACAAACATGGGCCTCATTGTTGTTATTTGGATCGTTATATTGCTAACCGTTATTAATTTGTTGTCATATGGCATCACCAAATTCAGAGGCAATTTTTTCTAAAGCAGTTTACCATAAAAAATTCTTCTAAAGCAATTTACCATGAAAGAAAATGGATGATGCTTGTGGAAGGAGGTCCATGACACTGTTTACAGACCACAACTTACCCCTGTTAGCGATTTTTTTACACCCTGGGAACACCTTGGGAATCTAATGTCGTCTGCATCTGCCCCATTTAGGCGTCGTCACAACTAGCACTTTTTCCGTATTTTTTTTGACAATTTTCTGAAATTTTGTCCATTTTTGAGCGAATTGTCGATTTTCCAGTCAGACGATAATGATCGTTTCCGTCTGAAAACCTTTCCGTCAACTTTTTCATCCAAGCATAGTCAGATCAAGAGCTATATTCAGAATGTTTGTATTTATGTTAAATAAAATTGTCCAAAAATTGACGGAAAAAGTGCTAATGTGACACGGCCTTCACTGTTTCGGAGCTCTAAATTCCACATACATTCATATTTCAGAGAAAGCCTCTGAGTGAGCTTTATGCGTGCTTTAATTGGGCATATATCAGTGCATCTAAAGATAGAGAAGAAGAATCTGAATTCATTTTTAGTTATCTTACACAACGATGTAAATTATCGTGTATCCATATGACTACTCAAAATTTCATCCCCATTTTCCGTAATCAAGTGGTTCCATTGCTACCTTTTTTCCGTAATCAAGTGGCTACTAAGTACAATATGGTTGATTATGTTCCTGCTACCTGTACCATATGGTATACAAATACTTCCACGAGAATTTCTTGTATATATCTACATATATGCCCGTACAGTTTACCTACTTTCCCATACACGTATGTAGCCAAACGGTTAGTCTGTATAACATTGGTCAATGTAATGTGCCCATACCCTGTTTTCTACTGTGAGAAAGGTACATATCTACTGTGTGAGGCATGTCAAAATACTGGGATGCGTATGATAGTCAACAAATTATTTTCACGAAGGATAAAATGTATTATCTGTCATTGCATAGAAATTGTTTATTGAACTAAAAATGGGTAAACACTATGTAAAAAATCATTTTTCTAATGCGAAAATTTGTATTTTTCTATTCACAGTAAGTAACTTCCTAGGAATGATAAAATCATTTCAAACTCGCTACCGTATATATAGTATTTGGTTAGGGAACCAGTAATGTTGCCAATTAATGACAACCTGCAATTGCAAATGTGTGAACAAAAATATAAATCTAGCGCCATATGTGTGGCCTAGGAACATATATACATTATATTTGAAATGGGAATATTTCCCCATGACACCTAATCTAGCCATTTAAAGGATTAATGTAATTGGCATTATAGATATTTTTCTTGTATTCTGTATGTTTAAGATAGTCAGTTATAGACGAAACCTCCTTCTTGCTTAAACCGCTACAAGCATGGTATTATTCTATTTAGCAAAATTAACATATATTGCCAAGTGTAAATTCGCTAGTGCAGAAATTTCAAACGAATCAAAATATACCACACTGATAAAATCACAATCTCAAACGCATATATGCTATCTAAAGAATATATAGCAATTCCCACGAATACTTAGCGGATCCTGGTCACCGTCTAGCGACTTCAGCGCTAGAGAGGAACGGCAACAGCGCTATTTGTTTACATCCCCAGCTCCAAAAGATAAGTTGGAAGCTGTCTTATTTTCCTTTAAATTTACAAGTTGGGACCAAGAAATACAACGATGGGTGACGGTGAGTGTATTTAGAAATGTTCTCGGCTTTTTCTGAAGGGGAAATAAGGGTATTTTTAGATTATTGACCATAAATTTGTTGATGTCTAAAAGGCCGACCTCAAATGGTTGTTATTATGTTTCTAAATAATGAATATAAGCGTGTTGTGGTGATGTTTGAAAAATGACAGAATAGTAGGAGATATAGTTGTGTAAGGTTGATATTAAAGTCTGAAGAGGCTAAAACCACTTGATCAATATGTGGTAAGGGTTAAGTTGCATACTTAAATGCTCTCCCCCAATTTTCTTACAGATATTTGAATTCTAACAAGACTAACAAAAAAAAAGTCTGTCCATAATTAAAAACAAATGAATAACAATTAAATTAGTCACTTCAGAACATCATTATTAATAGTGTAAAACTTATGCTGTTTTGCGCCACCTTAAATGTCCATTGCTCAGGTCACAGCTCCCATTATTGTTGTTACTCGCTATTGACACGTCCATAAAAATGGACATATTTCCAATGGGTTTCATTCAGCTATCTTCGATTAAGCAAATGATATATGGAAACGACAGAGCGAATGAATCTATTAAACTCATCTGTTATGCATTTCCATCGCAAATGAAGAATAACAAAGCTCTCAGACACGTGTGAGAAAGCCGCAGTATTCCCCAGAGTTTAGACATGATTTCTTAGTGTGAATTATGTACACTGAATAACTCTGATAATCATTGGTAGGTAAATTTTTAGTTTCATAGCCATCCAACATCATAATTATGATATAGTTACAGTTCTGGTACAAGGTAAACTTTACCTGTATTGGAAAGAATAAATAAAACTAAGATACTTTTCATATATTATTTTCTTTGTAAGTTGATAATAAGAGAGTTGTGCATCTGAATACTTTGGTATGCATTTACAAGAAAAGGCAATGACACTATCATCAGCAAGGGGAAAAATCTACACTTTGATACTTCAAATAATCTGAGTAGGCAAGAAATAATTTCAGAAATTAAGAAAATAGGTTGGGACTAATCCTGCAAGGACCAGATTGGAAAGTTTTCCACGTGCACAGAGAAGTTGTCAAAAATTTTCCTGAACTGTTTGCCCTCACCAGGATTTCATCTATTTTTGCACAGCTGTGATAAACTGATACTTTTACTTAAAAGAGGGATGAAATAGAGCCTGAAAACCCAGTAGAGAAAAGAGAAAAGAACTGCCATATCTATCATCATTTTCACCAAATAATGATACAAAATAACAGTCAGTTTACTTACCATCTGTTTTGGTTTATCTTTTGACTTTTCTTGCTGCTTTCCATGCTGTTTCAAACTCCAAACATTATATCAAAATTCAGGCCTCCAAAGTATCAAATGCAAATCGTGGAAGAATTTACAGCGATCAGTAGCCAAAAGATGGGTAACAATGATGATTTGTATGGGAGACGTGCACGGAAACAAGTTTCTTGACTAGCCTCAGATACCTTGTCATGCATTTGTTGTTGGTGCTATTGTTGGTATAGTTGCAGTGTTGTTGCATGTCTGAGAGTTGCAAGAAACAAGAAAACAAGTGAATTAGTGTCCGCATAGCAATAAAAGAAATTAGATTGGATTTCTCAGTTTAAGGAAAAATGTGTGGATGTGGATAGACCTTGCAAATTTTGGTGGAAAATTTAACAGAACTGAAGAGTGTTTAGGCTCTTTTGTATCCAAGTTGTAAGTCCACCAGTAGTGGCACAGTTTCAGACAATCTCCAGATGATCTGCTCCTAGTGGGGTATGGCATATACTAATAAACCTCCATATATATTTAAGCAAGATAAAGTTTGCATTGCTAGGTTATTGGATGTCATGCTAGATATTCAGTTTTAGATTACAAGCTAAACATTGTGAATAGATTGTTAAATGGCCATTTGTTCAGAAGAGGACCTCAAGCAGTACTTAGCTGTTTGGGGAATGTTGGCATATGAAATACTTTCCTGGTAAAACAAAGTATTTTATCAAGTAATTTGTATGCCTCAATTGTATATCTAATTTCAGTTTGTTACTGAAAATCTCATCCTTCTTACTTCTAATTCATCATAATATTTCAGAG